AAACAGTTCCCATAGTAAGAAGATGGGGGGGCTTCAGCAAAATAAAGTGAGTACAAGAGTTCTGTAATTTGTTTTCTGAGACCATGTAGAGAGCCTAAAAAATAAAGAGTTTGGAAGTTCTCATTTTTAAAACTGCACTTTTGGTTTCATTTAACATTTTCAAAATAGCTTTCCTTACCACCACCAAGCCCCCTCCCCCACCCCTCACTAACCTCCTTCAAAAAAGTTGGAAAGTTTTCTTCTTAACATTGAAAATCATTCATATACCTTAGAGTACCAGAAACATTTTTCTTTCTAAATTTGTACAGGGGGAAACAAACTCCCAAGTTATCACAAAGCATTTTCCTTTCTTTCCACCTATCCAAAATACTTAATCTCATCTTAACTAGATTCCATCCCAACATCAATGATACTAAGCTATTCCATGAATAAACATGATGTTACAACGTGAAACCCTGTGACCAAGTACATAAAAATGTAGCTGAAAGAAAAGAAGGCTGAGACTCCCCCCTTCCACCCTCCCCTCCCCAGGGAGTTTTAGACTTGAGCTGCTTCGGTGAGAAACAGCAGATTTAAATTTCAAGGTTTTCAACATTTTTAACATTCATATTAAATCCCATAAAACTAAACACTGTAATTCTAATAAAATCTTCGGGTGAACTGCTTCCGACTGAAATCATAGTTCTCTCTTTTGGAATGGGATGTGTAATACCGATAAAAGAAAAAACCCTCAAAATATAAGGGATCTCGCACTGTCTTGCTATTTGCGTATTTTATTAAAATTAGCACAATGCCAACATGAAAAAAAATATAGATTTAAAATGTCATCATTTGAATGGAGATATTTCTTGTTATTTGAATGAGGAAACAAGATATAGAAAACTTATCTACAATAATTACGATTTTTATAACTACACTTGTGAACTTTCTTAAATTCTACAGTAATTCAACATTAGTAAAATCCCTTCACTTAAAATGATGTTCACTATGACGTTTCTCAGATTCCCCATTTATATTTTCATCTCATAGTAAAGATTTCAGGAAGTAAAAAAAAAATACAGATTGTTTTTGTTTTTATTGAAACGCTGCACATTCTGAAGTCTTTAGAAAGTATTTTTATTTCCTGACTATACTCTGTGTGCTATGTTAAACTATATGATTGGGCAGTCGTATTCTTCCAAGACACATGTGGCACAGTATGACTATTCAAATATATGAATTTTGGAAGACATCAGGTCAATTTATGGTAACATACACAACAAAAAATGTAGCCCTTTTTCTCCTGCCTTGGAATTAGAGTGAAAAGCAAGGCGAAGCTCAAAGTTTCTCTGAGACACCCACACATTTCTTTATCAAAATCCATGAAGATTCTAATGTTGCAAAGAGATTTTATTTCCCACAACAGCCAGCAGCATTTAAAATTTATTTCTGGTTTTGTGGATTGCTTTATAATGCACTCTTTTTCCTTTAGAAAGAGGTAAGGCCTTACAATCTCTTACGCTCTTGCTTTGCTTTGCTTTGCAAAAGTGATTAGGGATCTAAATAACCTCCTGATAAAAATCAGAGTGGAGGATGTGGGCGGGGGCACTGGAAGGGGACTGGCCCAAAGTAACTTCAACTCTACAGGAGGTAGGAGGTGCCTGGCTCCAAAGCATCAGAATGGAGTTGCTCAGGGAAGTCTCTAATTTTAATGGCATGAGTGTCAAACTCCCTCTCTCTCTCCTCTTTTATCTACTAGATTCCTGGGTTAGCTAGTCAACACATGTTAACTAAGTATCTACTTTTTCCAGGAAGTACTTTTGCTAAGCTCTAGCTATAACCAAGACTGACGGGGCCAAGGCCTACAGGTTTCCTCCACTACTGTGGACTGCAGCATCCTCTGGGATTTGTGATCTGTGATACCATGAGTGCAGAAATAATGTCTGAGCTCTACTCTATTTCAGAATTCTTTCTCACACAAAAGAAAGTCAATCTGCATCTTCAAATTAACGGGGCGTGGCAGGGAATTGGCAGATAAGGTCATCAAAACCCACAGTCACTAGTTAGTAAGGAACAGGAAGGAGTTACAAACAGGATTAACTCCCATTCAACTCTCCTTAAACTAACACTATCCAGTGTCCAAAAATCTTCGTTTTAATTGGAAGAAGTGACCCTGGTAGAAGGCTCTGGAGGTCTCCCATGGGAGGACAGGGGCTTTTTCTGTAAAAAAAAGATGCTTCTGGGAAATTTTGACAAACTTGATTACAACTTCAAAACTGCTCCACTATAGTTTCTTTATAGACAAATATATGTTCCAAAATGAGTGAGTTGAGAGATCTACCTGTGTGTAACTAGGAGTCAATAAAATGATACCATGTACTATAAAAGTGTGAGCAAGGGCATGGAGATGAAGAAGAAAGAAGACCCACAGAGTAGTGTGCTACGTGTGGCTAAAGTCTCAAAGTAATCACTCAACAATCTACTTGATTTTTTGTACAGACAAACTGATAACTCTTGCTGGGTTTCACTGTATCATAATTACCTAAGTAACCAATCTCTTTCCAGGACACAGGGCAGCCTTTTCCTAAATAATCCTCTTCGGTGAAAGCACAAGTGTGACCTTTTTGTGAAAAGTTTTGGGTTTTTTTTGTTTTGTTTTGGTTTTTGCTAAGCACACATCATGATCAAAATTGAATATTTAATGTTAATACTTTAATATCTTAGGAGCAATCAATGATTTGCTATTTTTTCATATGAAATGAAAACACATTTATGGTGCTGGATTCCTCTGCATGGCACCATATACTGTTTAGTAATGAAAGCGAGAAGTGTCACAGCAATTACTTAGATAATTGTTTTTTTTAAAGTCCTAATAAGAAGGTACATTGTACTAGGATACTGTTTTATTTTCACAGAAGATTCAAAACTCTAAGATTTCTCATTGAAGCTTTCTTCTCCTGATTCTTGAACTATGAAGCAGTTTTTTTCCTACTAAAAGTAAAATCTCTGAATGTCATACCCCGTAGTCTAAAAGTTAGAAGTTCCCAAGTTTAGCTGTTATAGTAGGTAATGAGCCAGTTTTGAAAAATGCATTACTAATATGGAACTTTTAAAAGGTCTTTCTTGTCTCAGAATACAAAACAAACTTCCAGGGAGTTGCTATCACCCTGCAGGTTTGTGTCAGAGCCAGGCAGGGAGTCTGCAGAGAAGTCTCCCTGCTCGGAGCTGCCCAGTGCTACAGATGGGCACAGAGGCACCCAGACCAGGACAGCTGCCTCTGCCTTCCATGCTGCAGGGTGGGAGGAAGCCCCATTGCAAGGCCTCAACATCTTTCTAAAATGCAAGTTGGATACAGGTTCTTTTTAAATCTTCTTGTGCAAGATCTGATCCATAGTGTCCTCTAGCCTCTTTTTAAAACTAATACTTTTTTTAAACTTCTTTTTCCAAATCTGTATTGCAGTTAATGTATGCCTGAACTTGAAGACATTTCCTACCTTTCTAATTCTGGAAGCAGGTTGGGTCAACGAATCATTTATGCAGGAACTTAAGATTCCAGCACAATTGTAAAGAGATGAATGAAAGATACACATTGTAACACACACACACACACATACACACACGTACACAAACAATGCACACAAATATCATTTACTACCAAAAGCACACTTCCCTAAGCAAAAAAGAGTTTATACTTCCCTATAAGCTGCTGGATCCTACAGAAAACCACTGTACCAGCAATTCTGTTTAACATAATTGGCGTATTAACATATAAAGAAATTAGCAGTGATGAAGACAACACAGCTTTCAGAAACACACAGGTCCTGTCCAGTAGTGAGCCAATCAGGAAGCAGGTCACATCTTGTTAGCCATATTAAATACATGAAATGTCATGATTTCTCTATGGCTCCATGGACAAGTCAAGCAAGTGTGTTTTATTTTATAATACAAACTTAATCAAATTCCTTCCCAGAGTTAAAAGTCAACCTTCTATCTAAAATTCCAAGAAGCTCTTTGGTAGAAATTCCCTGGGTATCATTGCTCTGCAGAGAAGGCTCAATCCCCAGGGATTCCAGCTTCCTAGAGTGACTTGGGGTACCTCTAACAAACTCCTGTTAAGAAGATAACACAAAGCCCCAAATTACAGGCAAATGGACAACCCTCAGCAGCCCCTCCAGCCAGCACACAGAGGAAAACTCAACTGACATTAAATATTTAAATTTCAGGAGGCAGTCTGGAGTTTTGCATTTAGAAAGTTCTGAAAGTCTTAGTCTCTCTACTCCTAGAGTTGCTGTGTCTTGAGAACTCTCACTCTCTCTCTCTCTCTCTCTCTCTCTCTCCCTCTCTCTCCCCTTCCTCTCCCTCTCTCCCTCTTTTCCTCCCTGAGGCACAAGATCACAAAAGTGCAAAAAACTCCCCGGGGCTGGAATGCTGAGCCAGCTCCATCCCAAAGTAGAGCCCTTCAGAGGCACAGCCAACAGGGAGAGGAGAAAGTATAGAATCCTCTTGCCCGGAGCAACTGGTTTCAGAATTTAACAAGGAAATATACAAACATGTGTTCCTCCAGGGCTAGTTCAGAAAAGTATGCCGGGGCTACTCTTTTGGCCCTTTACCTCAATTTTGATGACTTTGAAAAGCAAATGCAGGTCAAAGCAGACTCATCTATATCCTTCCAAATGCAAACAACCGCAAAATCCTTTGCAATTATATCTCAAGAAACAGGACCATCTCAGAGGCTGCAAACAGCAGAGTTTCTGGGAGAGCAGCATTTCTGAAGCCCCGGCATGGGAATCAAGTGCTGGGCTCTCTATTTCAAGATTCCGGCAGGAACTGTTCCCTACTCCAAGAGTTGCAGTCCCCGCAAACTGGGGCGTTCAAACTAGTGGATTCATGCTGGCGCTCATTCCTTGTACGTGGTAGTAGCTAGTGGGACACTTGCCACAGAATTCAGCAGAAACCCCAGGAAAAGCCCGTGCACAGTAAAAAAAAAAACACAAACACACAACCAAGGTTGAAGTACTTACCTCTGTGCGAGACTGCAGTCTCTTGTTCATCTCATAGATTCGGTACTCTGGCTGTACCATGTAGGGTGTATGTCTCCTATAAAATGGGCCGAAAGGAGAAGAATAGAAGGGGTCATGTGGTGTGCTGGACATCTTGCCTGCTTGTCGAAAATCAAGCTAAATAGAGTAGCAGTAACGTCCATGCAGAGCACATGGGCTGTGTTCTTCACAGTACAAAGTAGACGCACGCACACATGCTCACACACATACACACTCTCACACACACAGAGGCAGGCAGGCAGGCAGGCTGAGCACACTGGCTGGGAAGTGCTGTGGGAGCCCTCTAAAGCGAGAGTGGAGCTGGAGCGGGAGGAGGGAGGGAGGGAGGGATGGAGGGAAGGAGGGAGGGAGCACGGGAGAGGAGGAAGAGGGAGAGCGCAAGAGCTCAGAGAGGGAGGGAAGGGAGGTTGGTAGGGAGGAAAAGAGGGAGCGAGGGAGAAGGAGAGAGGGAGGGAGGGAGAGAGAGAGAGAGACAGAGAGAGAGAGAGAGAGAGAGAGAGAGAGGGGCTGGATTGCAGGAGGCACCACAGCTTGTTTTTAAAGAAGCAGTTTGTGGAGAGGTCATTTCCTGTCCACACTGTAGACTAGTTCAAAAATATAATTTTCCTCAGAGTCTGAGGAGAGGTCTAAGGGTCTAAGGTTGGGTTTTAATTTTTTTTTTTTTCCTCCAGCCAGGACCCTTCCCAACCTGACTGCTTAAGCTTGTTAGCACGGAGGTGGTTTAACTGCTGGCTGAGCCACTCACCCCTGACAGCCCTGCTGTGGTAGTATATCAAAAATGTGACTGCGACCCAACAAGGACACAGGGCACTGGGGTCCCTGGGATATGAGCTGGTGCGGCACTCCCAGGCTAAGATCTCTCTGGGCTCCCATCGCCACGGAGTTGCACTTTTACTTGCAGTCCTTCTAAGAGCTCCTTCTGTCTTTTTATTCCCACTCCCAGCCTTCCAAATTACCCTCTGTGCAACCCCCTCCCTCCCCCAAGTCTTCAAGGCAGGTGGGGTGAGGGCCTGGGTTCAGATTACCTGAGCACTTCCAGGTAAGGACAATCATGCTGACCCCATGGAATATCTGAAATACCTCCACAAGGCAATGGTCTTTTCTTCCTGGGAGGCCTCCCCAGCACCAAAAAAAAAAAAAAAAAAAAAAAAAAAAAAAAAAAAAAAACCGCC